AAGTCTTAAATTTTACTTAAACTGTAGGAACCCTGTATAAGACTTATGGTTGCAGGACTTCTTTCTGTTTCTTTGCTTTCCTATCTGTGCCAAATATTTATTTATAATGTGATAATTCTTTTTCTTTTACTTGATGTGTAAAGGTTTTGGTTTAATAACTAACTTAATAGTTTTCTTTAGTAAGTAAAGCTTCTTTAGCTTGTTGTTGATTTATTTTTTTGTCCACTTCTTTCTTCCCTGTAGCTCCTCTGTTTCTGGGACTTGGCATTTTACTTTGTGATAACCATTTCTGCTGTTTCCATTTTCATATCTTTTTTTTTTCTTTTATTCTTTCATTCCTCGCTCTCAGGCACGTCGCACTTTAAAAAGAGACACTGACTCTTTTTATTTTTTAACTCACGTTTCTTCTTTTCTTTTCTTTTCTTTTCCAACCTTTGTGAATTTCTGGTTTCATTTCTCAGATTTCAGTTTCATCTCTCTGCCTGTAATCCGTCGTGGATTACAGCTGATTTTATGATGCATTTATCTCACCAAACATCTCAGTGACGTTTTGTTTTCTGTTGCTGTTTTTTTTTTTTTGTGTACCCTTATAGCATTGAGACTATTCCCATGAAAAAGTAAGACAACATCCTCGCTTCTGACTCTCCCTTCTTAACGCTGCTTTTCTTTCTGATTCATGTACATAGGCAGCTGTTTACTAAATTCTTGGTGCTGTTTTGTATTTTTAAGCTTTGAGTTGTTCTTGTGGGTGGATGGTGTGGCCTATTATGTGCTAAATTTAAAAAAAAGTGCCCCTTACCTTTCATAAAGGGCTCTTGCAATCATATTACAAGTCCACCTGTTTTTAAGTCAATCACACTGTAAATAAAACACTATAGTTTACACTCAGACAATATTTATCTCTCATTATTTTAAACTATACTCATAAAAATACTCTTTTTTTAATGAAGCATGCCCTGTTTCTCATTTTTCATCCCTTTTTTTATACAACATTTTATTTTCAGTATGGAAAATGGTATTAATGGTTATCATAGTGAACGCTGTCAAGGTATTCCTAACCCCATGATGACAAGGTAAATTGGATAATTATAATTATCTCACCGGCTGCATGTGATGGTGGAGGTTTGCTTGGGAAGTTGGTTATTTATTAAAGATGTGTCAGAATCTAAAGCATGCCTGCAGAGAGAGTTCATTCGTTGCACCCACATGCACATTAGGAGCTCATTTTTCATATATATAATAATAAACATTCAAACTGACAGCTAATATAGCTTTTACTAAGAAAAATTACCTAAAAGTCTATTTCATTCAATGGTTTTGTTAAAAAAGGTGATTTTAATGTGAATGCCAAGCAAGATTTTTCAGTTGAGGTACCAAAAAGAGTCTCTTTTCCACTTAAAAAGGACAATGTGAGGCTTCAATCATATTTGAGACCTGCAGAATGTGTTTTATTTAATAATAAAATATAACCTGCTAAATACAGTTTGTCTGTATCTCTGGGGTGAAGAATTGAACAAAAACTTTGTCAAAAACTCAATTTATGCAGATTTAAATGAGTTTTCTGCTAATGCCCCATAATATGTTAGTTTGCTCATTTTAATAATTTATGTTAATTTACCTTTTTTTTAAACTTTTTGTAAATATTTAGCACGACGGCTCAGTGGTTAGCACCGACGCCTCACAGTAAGAAGGTCCTGGGTTCAATCCCCGGTTTGGACCTGGGGTCTTTCTGTGAGGAGTTTGCATGTTCTCCTCGTGCTTGCTTGGGTTTTCTCCGGATACTCTGGTTTCGCCCACAAAACAAAAACATGTACAATATGTTGCCTTCAGGCCCAGGCCTCCCTTGAAAAAGAGATCTGAGATCTCAATGGGACGTGCCTGGTAAAATAACGGTAAATAAATAAATATTTTCTTAAGATGTGCAGCGGGTAAAATAAGTATTGAACACGTCACCATTTTTCTCAGGAAATATATTTCTAGAGGCGCTAATGACATGAAATTTTCACCAGATGTTGGTAACAACCCAAGTGATCCATACATACAAAGAAATCAAAATAAATATCCAGAAATTAAGTTATTTGTAATAATGTGGAATGGCACAGGGAAAAAGTATTGAACACATGAAGAAAGGGAGGTGTAAAAAGGCATGGAA